ACGACTACGAAGAAGGAGGCGGAGTGCCAGCTGCAGTTTTAGTGTTGTGGTTGCGGACAGTGTTGAAATTAAACACTGTAAGCAGATTTCCTAAGCTCCATCCTCTCCTGTAGCGAACGAAATCAAGTTGCTGGCCAAATGGTTTTGTGGCTTCGGTCTTTCAACAAAATTAGGCAACGGCAGATAATTATTTATATTTTGCTGCAAGGGAGCAGAATCCGAATCCCAGGCATAATTGCCCGTGGCTAGGATGTCTGAATTTGTCAATGGTATTCGGTCCGAAAGTTCTAGGAAATTCATGTGGTCGTTAGACCAAAATGTACAAGTTGCACTGCAGAAAATGATTCATTTGCATCTATTTAAATTTCACTGTACAACTCAGTTGTTGGCCCATAAAAAGTAATGTGGCTTTTTCAGCAAATCCTGTTTGAACTTTTAGCTCATTTAAACTTTTGTTTCCACCTGTAGATCGTTTATAAAAATCCCGTCTAGTGCAAACAAAATAATAATAACGCTTAATGCCGGGCAAAGTTTAAGCAAATAAAGGTGCCTGAATTGTAGGGGCTTTAGACTGAAAATAATGGTTTAGAAGACTACTAATAAAATAAACTTTCTTAGGGTCTTTAATTTAATGCTTGGCTACCTTTCGCTTTCTTGAGTTTTTTGTTTTTTTTTGTTGCTAGGGCAACCAATCTTCAAAACTGTTCAAGTGGTCCCTCGGATAAATTGAGCAGAGAAACAAGTTTAAAGTGTGCTTACAGGCACAGCCGAAAAATGAACGAAATTGAGACCCAAACGCTTACCTTTATTGTAAGGGATTTACGCCTGAAAGCATGTTATAAAACAATAACTAGAAGATTTATTGTACGGCCTACCCGGAATGCCGGTACTTTTGTTTTCATTAATAAATGCCCAAGGTGGTTGCGCGCTGCGCCTTTCATATATTTTCGAAGGAAACTGGGTACCCCTCCAAAACCAAAATGTGTGCAAAGGAGGGCTCTATCTTAAACGGAATTTTTATTCCACATTCTCTTACCCATATGATTATTGTCTGTTAACCATGAGACTAATTCGTATTTATAACTTGAGATCAGCAGAGAAATATGGCCAACGAAAAAGGGGCAACTGTTCTTAAAATTATGTGCCGTTTTTATCTTCTTTTAAATAATTCTACTCTGTGTCGCTATACGAAAATGGCATTTATTATATTTATAATAATAATTATATTATATTTATTTATATTTTAAATATATGGTACTTAGCCCACACTGTTCTGTGAGTTACCTTTTGTAAGAACACTGGTGATAACTTTATCTTCTTACCAACACTTTATATATTAAATCACTTCCGCACTCTTATGCCTTTATAAATATTGTTCTCTTATTCACATTTATAACACGAAATCACATTTAATCAACTGATCCATTGCTGCCTATCTTAGGAGCCTCCTACCGTACCGCTTAATTGAAGAGGCAGTAATTTTTTCGCTAGTCAACTTCGAGCTTAATCATCTGTGCTTAAATGGGGCGAGATGGAGATGCTGTGGTCTGGTCTATCAGCCCGACAAATCCCTGAGGCAAATATCATTTTAACAATGGCATTAAATGAATTTGCATAATTAGCTCCAGCTTAGTCAAGTGCTCGTCCCCGTCTCCCCAGTTCAACTTCCATTTATCCACGTTTTTCGCTCCCCTTGTGGCCATGGTCCTGTGGTTATGATGCATGTGTGACATTAGCTCAGACACGTAATGCCAAATGGGTTTGCACAGCGGGTGGACCAAGACTTTGGGGGGAGGGATAATCCAGTAAATAAGGGAGCGATGCTATTGGGAATGCTGAAGTGAGCATTCGGAATTTATGCGCTTTAAGACGAAGCAACTTCTTCTATAAGAAAGTTCAGCAGAGATCCATTATTTTATTGACCAATATTAATTTACTCTTGGCATCAAGTAGTTTGCAATCCTATCACAGCTGATTGAGCACTTTGCAGCATTTGGAAATGCATTTAACTGAGAAAATCCAGCTAATCCTGCCTCTCAATTCATAATTCAATCTTAAGCGTATTAAGTGAACAACAATTTGTGAACTAATTAATTATGGAAATGCAGCAAAACGCATGCAAATTGAATGAGCTTAAGATGGAATTGCTTTTGCTAGCGGCTAAAAGACAGAGAGAGAGACTAAAACTGGTGGCCATAAATCTCTCAACGGCAATATCAGGGGAAGAACGAAAGGCGAAAGGACTTTCAACAAAGTTGGCCGAGTGAAAGTGAGATGTGAAAAGTTTAGAGGCCAAGTTAAGTCAAGTCCCCGGCCAAGCATGTTTAGCAAAGTTCATTAAGCACTTAACAAACAGAGCGCACCAAGGGAACTTAATGTGCTTTGGCGTAATTCAACTAAACAAAGTACCAAAGTTCTTAGCCCAGTTCAGTGTTCGGTGTTCCCGGGGAAGAGGGCACTGTGTTGCATAGATGAAAATCAAATGCGGTCATATCCTCACACATACACACACTCTCGCATCCAACCATGTATGCACATTCCACCCACACAGGCAGGCCGAATGTTTTGGTCATTCAGGAGCGTCCTGGCATTTTTGCATTTACCGTCAACGTCCCCGCCAGTGGCTGCAAAACTGTGCCACAGCACAATGTTGTGGCTGTGGCGGTGGAGCCCCTTAGTTTTCACACAGAAAAAAATTTATGAAAAGTTTCTACTACAAAGATAAAATAAATGACAGATCAGGACATCACTGTACTTTTTAAAATGTCCTTAAATGGTGGTGCCATAAACAAATAAGTTAAATTGATAAACTGATAAAAATATATTTGTTAACATATGTTTATGATAATATAGTTTTATACTCGATTTTTATACCCTTGCAGAGGGTATTATGATTTCAGTCAGAAGTTTGCAACGCAGTGAAGGAGACGTTTCCGACCCCATAAAGTATATATATTCTTGATCAGCATCACTAGACGAGTCGATCTAGCCATGTCCGTCTGTCCGTCTGTCCGTCCGTCTGTCCGTCCGTCTGTCCGTCCGTTTCTACGCAAACTAGTCTCTCAGTTTTTAAGCTATGGGGATAAAATTTTCCCAAAAGTCTTCTTTCTATTGCAGGTAGTATATAAGTCGGAACGAGCCGGATCGGACAACTATATCATATAGCTCTCATAGGAACAATCGGGAAAAAAAATGTAAAAAAATTATATCTTGGGTGATTTTGAACCTATAACATCATACTTTTGGAAATATCATTTTTTATCTAATTCTGAATTTCGTATAAAATTTTTTCAAAATCGGACGACTATATCATATAGCTGCTATAGGAACGATCGGAAAATTAATGGGAATATAATAGGAAATAAATTATTGCTTCGTTGGTTTTTATTGTATTCTCTTCTACTCTAGGATATAACTCTTTTCAAATATTTTCGAATTTCGATTTTAATTTTATCAAAATCGAACTACTATATCATATAGCTGCCATTGAAACGAACGCAAAATTAATGAGAAATAATAGGAAAATTAACATTTTTGCGATTTGTAAGTTAATAGGAATTATCTGCAAGGGTATATAAGCTTCGGCTGGCCGAAGCTAGCTTCCTTTCTTGTTCAAATCGAAATCGAAATCATTAAAAGGTTATGAGCAAGTAATAAAATTCAATCAGTAAAGGTAGTCTTTTTTCTGCATGCTTATCTCCATCTCCCTCGCTCTTTCATTAGCTAAGTAATGGGTATTTGATAGTCGGTATTCAACAATTTTTTCATTGTTTTTTTGTTTAGTGCACGAGTGTGGCAGAATGTAACCAGCGAGAAGGTTCAGAGGGGCAGAGTTTGTTCAAGCGAACATTGTTAGCCTGCGGCCAAAAGGCTTTCAAAGTTTTCGTGGTTTGGCTGCCAAAGGGTGGTAAGAGTAAAGGTACGGGGGTGGGGAAAAGATGGGCCAAGGGTTGAGGGGAGGGTGCTTTGAATTATTGCCAAACATGGTGGGTGGTGGGCGGTGGGGCTGAACTGCAGAAAGGGGTAACCAATCGGACGATGCTCCCTCTCTTTTGCCAAAGGATAAGGAAAAAAGTTAATTGGCAAATGGCCAAATGAGTTCAATTTGAAGTTGGCTCAAAAGACAGGAAAAGCGAACGAGGGAAGTTGTTGGTTCATTTCGAATGGATTCAACTGGAATGAAAGAAATAGTTGAAACTGCTAAAAGTACTGAAAACTTTTTAAAAAGTACAGAATTTACCGTATACCATTTAAAACTGTAAAACGAGTGTATTACATAATTAGAAGTGTTCGTGATAAATATTTAATAATTAGTAATAGTTTTTATTTTCCTTCCTTGTCAAAGAAATATGTAGGTTATATTTTTTCACCATATATCGTTGAACGTAACGAAATGCATTAACGTAATTTGACTGACATTAGGCATCAACGTCACCATTAACATATACGAAACCCCAAACCCCAAACCCCAACTTGTCATTGATAAATTTAGCCTCACTGTCAACGCTTTTTTTTTTTGGTATGCGGGTTTCCTTTTTTGTCTTGTTGCTATTTTTAATATGCATCCCATTTTCGTTTGCTAACCCAGATACAGATACTGGGTATATATGTATATTTTTTTTTAGCTACTGCTCTTCGTTACTTTGAGCGACATATTTTAGTGCGACGTTTTGCCCTCGTCTTCTACCTTTTCATTCTGTTTTTTTTTTGTTTCCTTGCCTCCTTGGCCATTACCATTAGCATAAAATGGCTGCCGTTTTGCTGGCCATTTTGGGCACTCCGCCGCCACTTGGAAAGCTTCTTCTAATTACGCTCTTAAAACAAAAAAAGTTAATGCATAAAAAATAGCTCGTTAAATGGGGGACTGCAGCTCAATGACAATTTTGGTTCTTGCTTATGTTATTGCAAAGCATTTTCCGTAATGCATTTTTAACAGACTCTTAACAAACATATTCATATACATATAGCTAATGATTTCTATCTCCCTTTTTTCGTTGCAGATCCAATTAATTGAATTTTGTATTTGGTAAGTCCTGGCAAGATTAAAAGTATCGATAAAATATATGTTTTAAATCCTTCCTTGTATTTAAATGCCTTTAATTTAAATGAAAAGAAAAATTCAAATTCGTTGGTATTTTTCTCTGAAAGCTTAAGTTTTAAAATTTAATTTGTGGAAAATATTTCATATCTGCAAGCAACTTGGAGGAAACTTTTCCAGAATTCAACAGCTTAAATTCCGATTAAATGCAGCAAATGGCACGGCAAATGATTTGAACTTTTCGAGCTATAAGCCTTGCACATTATGCTGACCCCAAAACTCATTAACTATGCTTTTTCGGGGCGAATTCGAGCAATTTAGCGCCACAGAAAATGCAACGCTTTTTGGCTCCTAATTGCTGGCATTTGGCATCCGAAAATTTGCCTGCCCAATGAAGCGTGGCACCACCGAAAATCCTTTCCCCCCACGATTAAGCAAAAGATGAAGGAAAATGCACAGCCAGAGACCGCGAGAGGCAAAATGTAATTTAAAATTTTCTGCGACGTTGGCGGGAAAATATTTTTCTCTGATTAAACGGCATTAAGTACGCTCTGCGCATCTCATCTCAGATCCAAATCACTAATGGCCCACCGAACCAACCCGCATATGATGTTAAATTAGAGCGCGAGCTTTTGATGCAACATCATGATTGGGTGTTTGGCATTTGGCGTTGATTTGAAATTGTGTTCTCTTTGAAAGTTTCATTCGGCAAATGCTATTGGTTTTGGCATTTCTGCGTTCGCTTAATTAACTGCTTTTGATTATTTTCGTCGGCGCCAAAAACCACATGCACAAGCTGGCTAATTGCTATTTAGTTTGAACTATTCCGTAGCTTACTTTTGTGGGTAACATTTATTACTGTTATCAATAAAGTGAAGTACAATGAAGGAAAAAGAATCTACCACATTTAAAAAGTGTTTAATGCCACTAATATCCTGTAGCATACTTTTATGGGTGACATTTATTACTGTTTTTAAAAGGATAACAGAAAATGTATTTACCTTAACACATTTATTTATAAATTAAATTAAAAGTTAAATTATAAAAAATAATAATCTCACAAATGTTATTTGCCAGTAAATAGTTGATAGTAAATTCGACGTTGTAATAATGTTCAGTGTTTTTTAGCGATCAAAACTATCATAATTTCATCATAATTGTGCGTAGGAAATCAAATTTGTCATTTTCACAGCCCCTTGTGCTAAACCACTCTCTGCTAATTGAATTAATGAATCCTAATGTTATATCAGACCAACGCTCCTTCTCTGGTTATTCAAACATGCTGAACAAAACCGCATGAATATTTCTGATGAAAAGGACTCTGGTTGGTTAATGGATGGTCCGTCCAAGGGACTGGCCACTCTGTTTCCCCGTTGGCATCGGAAATTGAGCCACCTAAACAATTGTCAATTAAATTTTGCTCCTGTTGCCTCGTCGTCGCTTGGGTTGTGTGGGTGAGATGGGGATGTTATAAATGCCAAGACACGTTCGATGCGGTGGTGGAATTTTCAATCGGTTTACACCTACCCATCCCCCAACCCCCCAACTCAGCACGACCTTCCACCCACTAGAGGTCCGCAGACGCGTCTCTAATTTGCATTAAAAGGTGAGCCAGCTGGTTGCACCCCTTTTGGCCACTGGATGCTGCTGGCAACCAACTGTTGCGTAACTTGGTAGGGGTAAGGGGAAACGGAATAACAGGCCTTGCAACCCACCACCAGTTGTTGATTTAATTTTATAATTTTAACGCACAATTTCCCCAATAAATTTTCATTGTGGGTATTGGGTATCCATGATTTGTGTTTAAATATTTGCTGTCCGGGGAAATCATTTCCCAAATGGAATAAATTACTCATTGATTCGCTTTTAGAAAATTGTTTTCACCAAAATGCATTTATTATGCGCCACGTTTTCCAATCAGCATTGTACGCTCATCAAATTGGCTATTTAAAAATGTATGAAAATTATTATTACTTTTCATGTTTTTGACTTAATATCTTTTCTCATAAAATACTAATATTTTTCTAGTTTTACACCAAGCAAAAACATCAAAGTCACTTTCCAAATATTTAGTCAAGTGTTCGATTTGGAATTGTGACTCACTTGAGAGAGCTGAGTGCAACCCATTCGAACACTTATTTTTTCCTTTTATTTGCGCAAAAATTGAAATTTAATTTCCTAATTGAATGGTTTTGTCATGTTCTGTCGGCCCTCGTTCACCCTCACTCCACTGCCAATTCCCATTTAATTGGAAATTTATCAGTTGCATTTGCATATGCTCCTTTCTCTGCTCCTGAAATTGACATTCCTCCATGCATTTGTGGACCTTTTGAACGGCAAAAGCCAACAAATGTTCTACTCACAAGCGGTCATTATTACTTTCTTTGAATTGCTATTGGAATTTTTCTCAGACCTTCTTGTATGTGATGAAAAAAAATTACTCTAATTTTAGTTTTGCCTTCATGAAATTGTGGAATCGTTTTAAAATTTGTTGTGCCTAATTTTTTAGTGGTAAGTCATACAATTTTCCGAGATATTCCCGATTCAGAAAATCGAAATCTTGTCAATTATTTAAAAGTTTTTATTTTTATTTATTTATTAAGTTAATAAAATATTTTTCTTGTTTTTTTATATAGTTCCTAAATTTTTGCACATTTTTTTTTTTTACGAATTCTATTAGTTTTTATAGCATCTTTCTCACCCTTATCTCCATAATAACAATTTGTGACTGCAACTGCATTTGCTCGCTTTAATGATATAGTCGCCCTTATTGCTGCTCCTTTTTAACTCCACCCCTTGCGCATTAAATTTGCCATTGACAACGTGAAAAACTTCACATGGCATCGTTGAAATATTTGCGTGGTTCTCACCCTGTCATTTCCTCCGCTTCGCTTCCATCAACATTAAATGACTGCGTCGCCGGTCGCTTAATTGAGATTGTCGGGGGTGTGGGTATCATCGCTCGCTTATTAATTTATTTTTATGCTTAATAACAGGCGCAACGCAGTGGCGCCATTGCAGCGGGTGACGCCAAAAAATACGGAGAAAAAATGGTCCGATAAGAGTGACATTGTGAAGAGGTTGTAAATTAATAGCAACCCACAGCAAACCGAGTTGGCATGCGCCACCCACCCTCATCGTCGTCGTCATTATCTATCTATCTATCGTTGTTTATCGGATGTCCAAAGTGCTGAGAAATAGGTTCATAAATATTCCCGAAATTAACGCGGAATCATTTCCCGATTTCCTGTTTTAAATGCAAGGTAGTGGCTCCAAAAAGCCACTTCTGCGGGATTATGGATATCGTTTGCTTGGTTGGGTCCCTCGCCTTATTCGCTGCTGGTCGTTTAATTAATAGCAAGCTGATTAATTAGTATTTGTGTGCGATATCCTTGGTCGCTTGGGGAGCGAGTGGGTCACTTCTGGAGCTCTGAGGGTTGGGTTGTCGCATTTCCGGGTTTAAACTGCCGCGCGGAATTGCATTATTTCCATCTACTGTCCATGTAAAGGGCTCTGATGATGCTGCCAATGCAAATTGCCATTAATTTCATTAGTTGATTGTCGTCATGGCAATTCCCTTTGTGGATTTTATAATTGCCCGAACCGCATGGACATTGGAAAAAGGTGGAAAGGGGGTTGCATTGGGCTAAGTGGAAATATGCATATGGTGCTTGCTAATAAATTAATTGGAGTGGGTGTGAAAATGGTGAAATTCTGTTTGTTTTGCGGTGGCTGCCTTTAAACTTTCACCTATATATTGCTTTTAATTGAATAACGTTAGTGGGATTGAGTCTTTTTTTTCCCCAATCGATTTGATGACGTTTTCGGCAACCTTTGATATTGCAAATAAATTATTCATAATTTTGTTTCCCAATTTATTTAAACTGTAATATTCTTTGGTTCGATGTGCTTCTTTTTATTTATTGGCTTGTCATTTTTTCCGCACAAATATTGTTTCTACAAATCCATCAAATAAAATCAATTTATTTCAAGCTTCACAAACCTCACTTCTTTTCCTTTCCTACTGCTTTATTTTTCTTCCTTTTTTCTTATCCCAGCAATCGAAACTTTTCAGATTACCCTAGACCAAAGCAAAGGAGCAAACAAATTTTATATGGAATTATATTGCATTTTTATTACCTACCGCATATAAATTTTTTGTCAAAGCAGCCGCCGGGCACGTAACATTTTAAAAAACAATTTTGGCTTGATACAATTTCTTGTATTATCACCGAAAATGTATGCAAACACACGAACGCGGGCATCGCAGAAGGAAAGGAACCCGTTCAAAGGGGCGTATGGGCAATTTTATTTGCATGCGTGCGCTCCAACGGTCGCCCTGCGGCTCCTCATCACTTTATATACGTATAAGTGAGGGTGGGCGAGAATGTGTGAGTGTGAGGAGGAAGAGGAGGAGTCCCCGTGGTGTGTAAAAGATATAGAATTGGGGGAAGCGGTGAGTCCCGGAAGCGCAGGCAATCAAACTCCATGTTCCGGAACACGTATACGCCACGTTGCCTCAAAAAGAAATATACATTTTGTGATGTATCGTTACTTAATGATTACATTTTAATGATTTTTTTCGTGTGCCAATAATAATTTCAAATGTATTAGTTTTTATGCGTAATATATTTTTTTTATTAAAATGTTAGTTTTAAAATACAAAAATAATTATTATAATATAGCAATTCAATTGGACTACTAGTTAAAAATAAATTTCTTTATTAATTCAGCTAAAATAAAGAGCTCTGATAATATTCGGCATAATTTTCGCTACTTTACATACTTTTACCTGCACATAAAATCCACAAAAAGGCAGGAACGTAAATAATGTCAGACCATCTTATCGGATATCAGAGTAAAAAGCCGAGCAACCAAGAGGGGCTGAGTGTGTGTGTTTAAATTTATAAATATATATGTATATTTACAGCCCGAGGGGGAAGCTGTTGTTTATTGTCTGACAAGGTGGCGCCGCCTTTAATGCGTTT